TTTTACTTCTTTTTTTTTCCTACCAGTCATGCATCTTTTGACTGTAATACGAATTTAGGATGTACGCACTTCACTTGATAATCATGAATATTGGTTATTAAAAAAATTTAAACTCAGAATATGTGAATTTATGAAAAGCACAAGAAATGCCGTAGTTGATGAGTTACAAGAAGAGGACAATACAAGAATGAGAATTTACAGCCATATTGTACCTGATAGTAAAGAATAAATGTCCCTCATTTGTATTGTCCCTTTCTTGTAATGCACCATCTGCAATTAAAAAGAGGGAATAACATAAATCCTATGATATTTGAGCCTTAGTAGGAATGTTTCTTTCTATGAATAATATTTTTTTTTTTTTGAGACAAGTGGATGGTGGTTTGTTCAATGTGCCCCTCATTTCGGGGCGAAGGGCTAGCACATGAGTAGAAACCATTAAAAATTAAGACAACATCATGTGTGAGAATCATTTAAAAACGATTTGAATGTATTAGAGACTAATGCGATAATATTGTAACGTCGGTGGATTAAAATGATACAGAGCAAATACTTAAAGGACCATTGCTGCATTGTTTGGGTGAAGTAGGTAGTGATTTATCCGAGAGCAATTTTATTGAGACTTAATTTACTGACCTAATTCACTATGACTTTTGGATTGACTGTGAGCTCCATTAAATATTGAAACTTTGTGTTAATTTAATGGTTCTATTAAAACCACATCATTATGTCAGATTTTTATGTCTAAATAGGGTTATTCTTTATCTAATATACTCTTTCTTTTGGGAGCACATGAGCAAACACCGTTAAAAATTTGGATGACTTCATGCATGGGAATCGCTTAAAAATAAACTAAATATATCATGAACTAATGCTATACAATTGTAAGGTTAAGTACCAAAATGTGACAAAGTGCAAACTTTGATGACCCTCACAACAATTAACTCTATTTCAATTTATGGCAAAGGCTAGTCAAATTTAATCGCACTCCACCTTAAAAAAGTGAAGTTGATCCTGGTGTTATAAGATTTTAAACATTATTACTTAGTATTATATCTATAAAATTTTGAATTCTGTAATATAAATATTTATCTAATATTTTTTATTTATTTATGACCCCTCTTTTAGGTAGTTCATTCGTGTGTTTTTTTTTTTTGGTAGTAAGGGAGGGGACATGAAGATATTTTTTTTTCAATGAAACGGTTGAAGATTTATTAAGAACAAATATCTGAAAGGAGGAGAGGTAATAGAAAATCAGGTGTCGTTTTCTCCCATACATCAAAATTATCAATAAAACTAGTATTTTTCATTAATTGGTGTGCGCGTAGTAGGCACAATAAAAAGCTAAAAGCCTTGAGATATGTTTCTTATATCTTCTAAGATAGAACCCATNACTGATAACCTCTTGAGGCTAGATGCCAAGGAATTTATTCTTTGATCTAACCGAAAAATGGATTAATCAAAGTGCGTATAAGCTAATTCAAATACCCTTCACCGTTAAAAAAAGAAGAAGAAGAAGAGTCTAATTTTCAAGGGATTTTACTAGAACCTAATATTGCAGGGTGGTCGTGATTCTCCATTTTTAGTGAGCAAATGTAACCTTCAAGCCACAATGTTCACCCCAATATGGCAAAACATGATGCCAATAGGTACTCCTGTTTTGGTTTGCCATTTTGCACCTATAAATGATTCATTGAAAAGCATAAGTTGGGTTCATGATTGCACTGAACATGAAATGAAAATATCTACTAGAAGTTGCTCTAATATGCCATTGACCTTCTTGTACTAGGTATCCATATAGTTCTATTACTTGTAATTCACTTTTACTTTCTTTTTTTTTCCCTACCAGTCATGCATCTTTTGACTGTAATACGAATTTAGGATGTACGCACTTCACTTGATAATCATGAATATTGGATATTAAAAAAATTTAAACTCAGAATATGTGAATTTATGACAAACACAAGAAATGTCGTAGTTGATGAGTTACAAGAAGAGGACAATACAAGAATGAGAATTTACAGCCATATTGTACCTGATAGTAAAGAATAAATGTCCCTCATTTGTATTGTCCCTTTCTTGTAATGCACCATCTGCAATTAAAAAGAGGGAATAACATAAATCCTATGATATTTGAGCCTTAGTAGGAATGTTTCTTTCTATGAATAATATATTTTTTTTTTGAGACAAGTGGATGGTGGTTTGTTCAATGTGCCCCTCATTTCGGGGCGAAGGGCTAGCACATGAGTAGAAACCATTAAAAATTAAGACAACATCATGTGTGAGAATCATTTAAAAACGATTTGAGTGTATTAGAGACTAATGCGATAATATTGTAACGTCGGTGGATCAAAATGAGATAGAGCAAATACTTAAAGGACCATTGCCGCATTGTTTGGGTGAAGTAGGTAGTGATTTATCCGAGAGCAATTTTATTGAGACTTAATTTACTGACCTAATTCACTATGACTTTTGGATTGACTGTGAGCTCCATTAAATATTGAAACTTTGTGTTAATTTAATGGTTCTATTGAAACCAAATCATTATGTCAGATTTTTATGTCTAAATAGGATTATTCTTTATCTAATATACTCTTTCTTTTGGGAGCACATGAGCAAACACCGTTAAAAATTTGGATGACTTCATGCATGGGAATCGCTTAAAAATAAACTAAATATATCATGAACTAATGCTATACAATTGTAAGGTTAAGTACCAAAATGTGACAAAGTGCAAACTTTGATGACCCGCACAACAATTAACTCTATTTCAATTTATGGCAAAGGCTAGTCAAATTTAATCGCACTCCACCTTAAAAAAGTGAAGTTGATCCTTGTGTTATAAGATTTTAAACATTATTACTTAGTATTATATCTATAAAATTTTGAATTCTGTAATATAAATATTTATTTAATATTTTTTATTTATTTATGACCCCTCTTTTAGGTAGTTCATTCGTGTGTTTTTTTTTTTTGGTAGTAAGGGAGGGGACATGAAGATATTTTTTTTTCAATGAAACGGTTGAAGATTTATTAAGAACAAATATCTGAAAGGAGGAGAGGTAATAGAAAATCAGGTGTCGTTTTCTCCCATACATCAAAATTATCAATAAAACTAGTATTTTTCATTAATTGGTGTGCGCGTAGTAGGCACAATAAAAAGCTAAAAGCCTTGAGATATGTTTCTTATATCTTCTAAGATAGAACCCATGGGATTGAATTCTCTACCATCCTCAGAAATCAATTTCATTTCGTCACATCCATGTTGCCTAGCAAATAATGCTGCTTCTCTTGTCGGATAAATCTCAGCCGACTGAGCCTCGCAAAAGGACACAACCTTCTTCAACAGTCCAGCAACAAAGATGTCATACCCATCCCTAATCACAACTCCAATCTCAATGGCCTCTTCTGAGAAGACTGCACCATCAAAGTTTACTATAAAAGAACCTGAGCTTCGAGGATGCCATTGAGAGTTTGATGAGCTTACTCCCATTTGATTCCCATGTTCCAAGGCAGAAGCGACAAATCGTTTCTACCGAATTTTCCAAAAGTGACTTAATTAGCTTAATAGTTTCACTATTTCTATTGGAGTGACGTTAGTGGATGTTTTTGATCAGTAGGAAGAGGAGGAAAAAAAAAAAAAAAGCTTATGATGATCATCTATATGCGTTGATCATTTTTAAGATTAAATTCTATTTTTTTCTCATGTAATGAAAATGCCTTATTCATAAATTTCCATACTTTGAATTTTATCCTTCGAAAGTCTATCAATGAATCTTAATGAATTAGCAATTAATGTTTAAATAATGTGTCTCCCACCTTTCTCATATATGCAAAGTTCGAGTCTCACCATCCCTCTTACTTATATCTATGGTGAAAAAAATTACGAAGAGTAATAATATTTGAACTTAAAAATTTGATCTAATTTATTGACATAATGATGTGATTTTATAAAAATTATTAAATCAATACTAAGTTTTAATGTTTGATGAAGTCTACAGTGAATCTAAAGGTCACAGTGAATTAAGACAATTAATTATATCCATAAATTAGGTCTTAATAGCATTGCTCAATTAAAAAAACTAAATCTCTCTTAAGCATAAACCCAATTCCTTTAATTGGGTTGACCCACCCGAATTTTGATTGGTTTGATCCACCCGAATCAAAATTAAGGACTTAATTACTCAATATTTTTTTTATGTATTTTTTTCTAATTATGAAAAAATTGGAAGAAGGTATACCAAATTAGACTTAATTGTAAAAAAATACATAAAAAAAATATTGGGTAATTAAGTCCTTAATTTTGATACTTATTTGTATCTAAGTACATTATTTAAATTTTATTAATTTTTTTGTAATATTTTTATGGTACACATAAACAGTCACATTATCAAGTCTATATTTTAAGGCTGTGTAACATTACTCTTAATANTAATTTTTTTGTAATATTTTTATGGTACACATAAACAGTCACATTATCAAGTCTATATTTTAAGGCTGTGTAACATTACTCTTAATACCGAGGTATGATGGTGTACCCAGCAAATCGATATGGCCTCTCTACTCATGCCTCCCATGCATGGCCATGGCTTCATGCACACACATGTCCATCAGTCCATGGTTTGGGGACATCTGTCCATTCACATTACCATCCATATTCCATGCATCATCGTGCCAAATTGACAGAGGAGAGAGAAATTTGATTCTCAGAGCAGCTGTAATTTCATTCCCCCTAGAGAGAGAGAGAAAGAGTTTGTGTGTCTGAAAACAGAGGGAAAGCTACAGCCAACAGCTACCCTTTTGTTGCCGAAAAACGTCTCTGGCAGTGTGGTTCAATAAAAACAGCACAGTCTGCATTCCATTTATTCTTTCTTCAGCATTTTCGCTGTTTTGTCACTTGTATTGACTCATAAACACTTATAGGGGTGTGTATGTATATATATAAAGTTTTTTATCTTTCGGGAGAGACCCAGAAAAAATTACAATCAGACAACTTCTCTTCATTTGTTTGTCCTTTTCCTGTTTGCTTCATCTTTCTCTCTCATCCATCCTCTCTCTTTCTTTCTGTTGGTTGGTTTTCTAACTTTGTTTTCTCTATCTGAACTTTCTCCCTCTACCCTTCACTTTCTCGGAAATTCTCGAGATAGGTGTCAAAGATAAAGACTAGGGGACCTCTAATCAAGCTGTCTCTCATCTGGGTTTTTCTCCCACAAATCTCATTCTCTCTGTAAAAGAGAAAGACACAATCTTGATGATTGAGAGAGGAGGCTCTCTCGGAGAGAGCCTACCCTGTACATGCAAGCAAAATCAACATTTTCATCAGTTGCATGAGCTGAGACAGTGAACCTAAAGAAGCTCTAAACACCTTGTTTTCTGGCTCTATCTATGCAGAGGGAGTCTAACAAACAGATGGATTCTGGCAAGTATGTGAGATATACACCTGAGCAAGTGGAGGCCCTAGAGAGGGTTTATATGGAATGCCCGAAGCCTAGTTCTTTGAGAAGGCAACAGCTTATTAGGGAGTGTCCTATTCTTTGCAATATTGAGCCCAAACAGATCAAAGTCTGGTTTCAGAATCGCAGGTATAATTTCCACAACCCTGCTTGACAAATTCTACGTGTTTGTGTGGTTGGTAGTCTCATTGCAGTTTGGAATTTCAGTGATGAGTTTTTTATGTGGGTACTTACTACTTGTTTGTTGTTTTTTGGCTTTCATGAGAAAATATTTCTTTTCAGGAGGAATTTATTGTTTTTTTAACCTGGGTCTGACCAATTTTCCTTCTTTTGGTTTTGACGAATGACAACAGAGATATGATCTGGTTTCTTTGTTCTTTTTCATCTTCTTCTCTATCAGAAAAACCCAAATCAAAATTTTTTTTCTCACAAGTATATTTCTGCATTTTTTTTAATATTTCTATGTTTTAGGCTTAGATTTGGGAAAGTTTGAGGGTTGGGGGTATTGCTGTAGTTGATTTCTTCTGTAGTGTATTCTAAATCTGCTGTCTTGCTGCTATGTCAATGAGTCTGTTTTTCTATTTATTTTTATTACTAATGGGGGAAAATGTTTGTTTGAGTCTGTTATGCTTCACTACTTTAATGTAATCTTGGAATCATTCTATAACAACTAACCTGATTTAATGAGGTTTTTGAAGAACTTCCACTGTTGTGTCATAGTTCACTTTACCATCCTAATGGGTGGTATAACTTTGTATTATGGGCAAAAGGCCATACATGTCTGATTGAGTAATTAGCCTTCCTTGCTTTCTTTCTTTTCTGTGTGGAACATGGTTTTATGACATCTTTCCTCTGTTTCTTTCCTTTGTTTTCTGAGGAAATAGGAGATTTTAGGCATATATTTGAATTTATTTTTGTATCAACTTAACTTTTTCCACTGAATGAATGTATACTTGAGAATTTCTAATTGGCACTTACTTGTTTCTGGGTGGTGTTGAAATTAAATCTTGAGATGACAGCTACTAATAAAGTTACTCTACTGTTTTTCTGAGTGTTTCATCATTTGGATTTTCTTTTTCTTATTCTGTTCCTCTCTGGAAAGTGAAATGGTTTCTAACTGGTTGCTCTTTTTTGTGTACACATAGAATTAAATGAAAGATAATTGTAGCTCACCTATTATCTTTTGAATATCCATGTTATGATTCTACTGAGTTTTCTATTTAATTCAGCATGTTTTTGGAGTCTTAAGTTTTTGTATTATTCTAATCTTCTGTAAAAGATGTTGAAAATGAAACTTTAATGTTAAAGTTAATTATATCTTTTCAACTTTATTTGGTAAAGTAGTTTAGACATCTTTCTTTAGCTGCACACTTCCTTCTTTTTCACCTTTTATGTTTGGCATTGTTCTTATCAAAAATTTGGAAGGAAAATGAGATGTAAATCTTAAACTACACAACACCATGTTGTTGATGAGATATGTCCAATTTTCACATCTGAATAATTTTCTTTTTAAAAATAATGCTTTTTCCGGCTGAAGTTTTTTACTTTCTTTTAATTCCTTTTTTGAGGCAAGGGGGTTTGAAACTAGTACTTCTGAATTCAGATATAGGTGAGGAATCAAGAAACCCATTAATATTTTAAGGGTGTGCTACAGGAATGATAAGTTCTCGTAGCCCCAAATGAGTACATCTTGTCATATTGAGCTTTTCAAATTTATCTTCTTTTATTTCGGGGTACATTTGACTCTGAGAACCTGGTGGCGGGAGCCTCATGCAATATGCTGCCCTGTTTTTTCAAGATTTGATAAATGGCAACAAAATAATTTTTTTTTTTTTTTTCGGTTTCAGCAATGATGAATTTACTCTCTGCAGTGATTTTATTATGTTGGAAAATTTCAGCCATAAGATAAAAAGTAAATTAGAACTATCCTTTCTGCTTTTTAGTTTCATGTTGAAGTGAACTATGATCTATCTGGGTAATATGAGAGACTTCTAGACCCTCAAGTTGAGGTCATCTATCACTTTTAAGTTCTCACTTTCTTTCCTAAATTCCTTCTGTCAAGTCTGTTGAGGACTCTTTCTCTCTCTCCCCTTTCTTATGGTATTCTTCTGGGTTACCAATAAATTAAGCTTCACACTTCTTTTTTCTTCTATAGATGCCGGGAAAAGCAGAGGAAAGAAGCTTCTCGTTTCCAGACAGTCAACAGGAAGCTGTCTGCCATGAACAAGCTGTTGATGGAAGAGAATGACCGCTTGCAGAAGCAGGTCTCACATCTGGTTTATGAAAATGGATGCATGCATCAGCAACTGCACAGTGTAATGCTTTCACCTCTGGCTTTTTCAGTCTAGAAATATCCTGTGTATGTTCTTTTCGCTACCACGAAGTAGCATTTATTCTCTTCTCATGGTTTTCCCTTGACTGTGGTTCGTTTTTCTCCGAAGTCTGACCATTTATGATCAACCAAGTGACCTTTTGCAATAGTCCCGCAGGTTTCTGAGCTGCATTTATTGTTTCTTTCTTCCCTTCATTCACAATGTTAAAATTAACATTCCCTGGTCCCAACATCCTGTATCTAAATTTGTGGACAGGAATTTGATACTATCTTTCTTTATACTTGTTGCATTACATATCTCCAACACATCTCATACTGACAATTGTATCAGGTTTCAACCACGGCCACAGACACCAGCTGTGAATCTGTGGTCATGACTGGTCAGCAACAACAGCAAAACCCAACACCTCTACATCCGCAAAGGGATGCTAACAACCCAGCTGGGTAATTAGTTCTTGTTCCTTTAAACCAATTTAGCAATGTCATTTACATCCGCTGTTGGGTTAGTTTTTTGGTTTTGTAATTGTGAATTTACTCACTACTTTGTATCTTAGTCTTCTTGCAATAGCTGAGGAGACCCTGGCAGAGTTCCTTTCCAAGGCTACCGGAACTGCTGTCAACTGGGTCCAGATGATTGGGATGAAGGTATGGATGGCACTATAAGCTTTTTCTTTAATTGTCTTCTTTTGTTTTCTATTTTTCAGGGAACCTTTTTTTACTTACTGCAGTTCCATAATTTAAATTTCTTTTTGTGTCCTTGTAGCCTGGTCCGGATTCTATTGGGATCGTTGCTGTTTCCCACAACTCTAGTGGGATAGCAGCACGAGCCTGCGGTCTCGTGAGTCTAGAGCCCATGAAGGTAGTTCTTTCAAACTTCTTTTTAGTGTGTTGTTTCTTTACACTATTCGAATGGAAAACATAGCATGTGAAAGGTGACATGGTTTCAGGTCGCTGAAATCCTCAAAGATCGCCCATCTTGGTTTCGTGACTGCCGTTGCCTTGATGTGTTAAGTGCAATCCCTACTGGAAATGGAGGGACCATTGAGCTCATATACATGCAGGTTTGTTGCTTTTGAACTAAAAGTTGGTCTAGTTTCAGCCGTTGTTGATTTTGTGATTTTTTTTACTGTCATTTGGTAGTTAGATTGTTACTCTTTGTCTCCCCAGACTTATGCACCAACAACATTGGCATCAGCCCGGGACTTTTGGACGCTGAGATATACTACAAGCTTGGAAGATGGCAGTCTTGTGGTATCTCATTAAGCAGACTTCAAAAAATTTTCTTGTGTTGATCTTTTAATTTGATAAGCAAATGTCTAGTTGGGCATGAAATTCAAATGTCTTTTACGTTTGAATGTTGACTTTTTCATTAGTAAAATATGTGAGCCAACCCAAGCATTTGTTATATTTTGGAAATTGTTTCAACCCCCACCTCCCCCCCCAAAAAAAAAAAAACCCCACAAAAAAAATGCATTTGAAGTTTCACAAAGAAATTATTCAGCTATATATCACTCATGAAAGTTGCACTTCAATCTTGGTGCTGTTATCCTTGCTGTGGAACTTGTTTTCACAAACATGATTGAGATTGACTTTGATTTTTCTCTGCAGATATGCGAGAGGTCTCTGACTTCTTCTACTGGTGGCCCAACTGGACCTCCTGCTACATGTTTTGTAAGAGCTGAAATGTTACCTAGTGGTTATCTGATACGACCTTGTGAGGGTGGCGGCTCCATTATTCACATTGTTGACCACATGGACTTGGATGTAAGTAACAACTTCAATGTAACTAATCGGGTTTTTATATTTATCATACATCACTGTTTATTCAAAGGTTTCTTGTGTGATCTAGGTTTGGAGTGTTCCTGAAGTTCTGAGGCCACTGTATGAATCATCCAAAATTCTTGCACAAAAAGTGACTATGGCTGTAAGAATATCTCAATGCTTTTTTTCATTAATATTTTTCTTTTTTCATCTTGCTTCCTCATCTGATCATAGTGAATGTTACATGCAGGCCTTACGACATATACGACAAATTGCACAGGAAACCAGTGGAGAAATTCAGTATGGTGGAGGCCGTCAACCTGCTGTTCTAAGGGCACTCTGTCAGAGACTGTGCAAGTGAGGCATTTTCTGAATCATGAGCTATGTGCTTTTATACATGTGTCATCACCTTTACTTTCTTCAGTTGAGAATACCTGGCTGGTCCATAAGTTAAATGCTGACTGCTGACAAACCAATCCACCCACTGGCTGGTTGGGTACTTGGTTTGACTTTATTGACGATGACTGTTGTTATATATTTGTTTCTTTTTGTTTGATATGCTTTTCCCTTTAATTTTGTTTGATCTGCTCTCTTCTTTGCCTGACAAATTTTGCAATTGGTTCTCAGGGGGTTTAATGATGGTATCAATGGGTTTGTCGATGATGGTTGGTCGATTATGGCTAGTGATGGCATGGAGGATGTGACCATTGCCATAAACTCGTCCCCAAGCAAATTTCTTGGTCCCCAATATAATACATTGTCAATGCTCCCAACTTTTGGGGGAGTACTGTGTGCAAAGGCATCAATGCTTCTTAAGGTGGTCCTCAAATCTAAATTTGCCTCTAGGGGGCCTGTCATAAATAATGAAATATTTCTTTTTTGATTGTTACTTGTTTGGATGGGTTCGTGTAATACTTGGATTGATTGCTAAGTGTTAACTGCTAATGCTTACACAGAATGTTCCCCCTGCTTTGCTTGTTCGTTTCCTGAGGGAGCACCGTTCTGAGTGGGCCGACTATGGTGTTGATGCTTACTCTGCTGCATCTCTTAAAGCTAGTCCTTATGCAGTTCCTTGTGCAAGACCTGGTGGCTTCCCTAGTAGCCAGGTCATTTTGCCTCTCGCCCAAACAGTGGAGAATGAGGAGGTGACTGACTAATCTTCTCTTAGATTCATCTCACAATATTTGTATTCAACTCATAGATAACTGAAGCAAAAATTTTGATTATTCTCTTTCCTCCCTAGTAGTTTCTGGAAGTGGTTCGTCTGGAGGGTCATGCTTTCTCTGGGGAGGACATTGCTATGTCTCGAGACATGTACTTGCTACAGGTTGATTCTTTTTATTTTGATGTGAAATTATTTTTTTTTTAACATTTTTGTTATAGAATATTCTTTCCGTAATAATTTTTATGTGGATTTCCAGTTAATATCTATTTTATCTGACTTGGCAGCTTTGCAGTGGGGTTGATGAGAATGCTGCAGATGCCTGTGCTCAGCTCGTCTTTGCGCCCATGGACGAATCCTTTCCTGATGATGCTCCTTTGTTGCCATCTGGTTTCCGTGTTATACCCTTGGATCCTAAATCAGTTGCGTGACATTCCTTTACTGCGTTTCGTTTAGATATATTAGCAAAAGCATATTGCTGGAAAATATGTAGTTGCTACTTGTTACAGAGAGCATATTCATACTACAGTTAACTTGTTTTCCTCAAAATTAAACAATTTGCTTTTTGGTTGCTCTGTCGGCATCCTCTCCCCTTATATATCTGTTACACGTATTCTCTGCAAAATTCTCATAGAGGGCAAGATCCAGATTGTTTTTTGAGCTTTCGCTTGTAACAACTTACTTTTTTTTTCCAATTTACAGGATGGGCCTCCTGCAACTCGCACATTGGATTTGGCTTCTACACTTGAAGTGGGATCAGGTGGGGCACACCCAGCTGGTGAAGCGGATATGAGCAGTTATAACCTTAGATCTATTTTGACTATTGCATTCCAGTTCACTTTTGAGAACCACTATCAAGATAATGTAGTGGCTATGGCTCGCCAGTATGTTCGTAGTGTTGTTAGTTCTGTGCAGAGGGTCGCCATGGCTATCGCCCCATCTCGGCTCATCTCTCAGTTGGGGCCAAAAGCACTGCCTGGTTCTCCGGAGGCTCTTACTTTGGCTCGATGGATTAGCAGGAGCTACAGGTAGCAATTCAACAAATCTCCCTTAGCATTGTATTTCGCACGGTCACATTTAGACAGATTTGACATGAGAGTAGAAATGGGGGGAAGGGACAAGGTGGTATTCAATGATTTTGGAACTAGAAGTCACCCAAAATTGTCCAGCTTCAATGCAAATTCTGTTGTTGAACATATTCCCTTCATTCTCTGAAATAATTTGGTAGATAGTGTGATTGCAATTCTACTTATGGTGTTTCCTGTAGGACATGTATTCTTTTCCTCCATAAAATGAGATTCAAGGCCTCAATATGAATAGCTATGCACTTCAATCTATGAGACATGCTCATGAATCTTTCTAATTTCCAGGATGCACACTGGGCAAGAGCTCCTTGGGGCTGAATCCCAAGCAGGTGATGCTGTCTTGAAACAACTTTGGCACCATCCCGATGCAATAATGTGCTGCTCCATTAAAACAAATGTAAATACATCAGGGATTGGAACTTTATCTGCAATTTGTTGTTATTCAACATAGTTTATTAATAGAAGATTGTTGGGCTTTGTTAAATTTACTTTTACATGAGGAAAGAATCTTAACAGCGTGAATTCTTAATGCAGGCATCTGCAGTTTTCACATTTGCGAACCAGGCAGGCCTGGACATGCTTGAAACTACTCTTGTGGCCCTTCAGGATATAATGTTGGACAAAATTCTGGATGAAGCTGGTCGAAAGGTTCTTCTATCGGAGTTCTCTAAGATTATGCAACAGGTGAGACTCTGACCATGTGCTTTTCTTCATTTTTACTAAATTTCAGACAATTTCAAAACTCTCGTACCTTTCATGGCCTTTTGGCTAAAGTGGAGTGTAGTGTTTGTTCTTATATATCTAATTTTACGGTTAGGAAATTAAATTCTCAATTAATAAAAGTTCAACAACAGTCAAGATTGATCCAATTTTAATATACTTTGATCCAATTGTATAAAAATTCATCCCAAAAATATTTTTTTTTCACCCCAAAACATCTTCTCTGAACGGCTCCTAATGTCAAACAATTCAACTAATACACTTCCCAATGCTAGGCAACCCTAATACCTCTCTCTTCTCTCTCCCCTTACACTCATTTTTTTCTGTCCACTAAACTTTTAAATTCCATAGAAAGGAAAGGAAAAATAAATTACTATTTAAAATATAAATGTTGCATGATCAATGTGAAATTTTTGGTATTATAGAGGGTAGTATATATGGGATTAGTGCTAGTTACTTCAATATTATCTCAAGTTTGCAATTGTGGATTGAAATCACCCTAGATTGAATTTGATGATTAAAGAAGTTTTCTAGTTGGTATAATATTTGATACGTAGCCAAATGGTCGGCATGATATCAAATTCAGGTTTTTTGTGGGGAGAGCCCATCACAGTAGCTTGCTAATGGTGTTGTACTCTTGCGCGCCACCTTGGCAAAAAAACTATCAGACCCTAGCCTTTTGTTTTTTCAAAGAGTGTTTTGAGCCTGGGCTGAATATTGAATTTCTTTACTTAGGGAACAGGCTATTATGTATATTGCTATTCCTGTGAAAGATCATTCGATGCCAAATTCTTGTGATTACTATACAATTGGTTTGGTTGGCAACTCATTTATTTTTATCTGTTCCTCTAATTACAGGGCTTTGCGTATCTGCCTGCTGGGATAAGTGTATCCAGCATGAGTCGACCAGTGTCCTATGAACAAGCCGTTGCATGGAAAGTTCTTAACGACGATGATTCCAATCACTGCCTAGCTTTGATGTTCATAAACTGGTCCTTTGTTTAAAGGGAAAACATATATCCTCAAATTTATGCTTTAGAGATTTAGGTTTCTCCCAAGTTATGTACACTTCTATGTTGGGGAGAAACTTGTATGACAAGTAAAATGAGGTTAATGGCAGGATTTGATGAACACTTAACTATATTTGTGTGCATGGTGTATATGATCATTTAAATGGCTACTTAATGGGGCATGGCATGGTTATGCTGTCTATTCTAGTCATTCAGAAAGTCTCAAGAAGTTGGTTGAGATCTATTATCTAAATTGATAATGGTGAGATGGTGGGAGAGTATGGTGGCTCAGCACTTGGGCCCACTTCCTGGTGGGTGGGTGGTTGGTTAGATTTGGTAAACATAACACATCTTTTTACTATGGTTTGTCAGTTTGTTTTGGCCATTTTTCACATCACAGGATGGTGATAGTACTGTTTTTTCTGTTGGCCTAATCTTTTACCCAAAGAAGGGGAAATAATGTTGACAATTAAGTATAGCATTTTCCTTTCAACAAATGGATGGCAGGGATCTGCAGAGTACGAAGTCATCTCTAACTGTGACCAGCAAAATATCACAGCAGAGCTAATCCAGTGGTCCCATGTCACGGATTCTGTCACATAACTGTCATCTTTGTTTTTCAACATTTTGGGTAACGAGGAACATCTAACTTTGGATTAAGAGTAAATCTCACATGCTTGTAGTCATTTGTAAATAACAGATATTAGTTAAAAGACTAACGAGAGTTGAATTCCTAGTGTTTGAAACTATAATTCGGCTAAATCTGACCATACACCGCTGAACTATCATGTGGGTGACATATTTAGTAGTGAAGAAAAGAGCATTCACTATTTCAGGTGTCGTTGGGTCTGTTTGAAATTAACTTAAATAGATAGTTTTTTAGAATTTTGGAATAAAATAAGTTAGATTTATTGGGACCTTGACTTTCTTATCAGTTTATGTAGTAATTTTTTAGATCAAAAAAGACTGAATCAAGAAGTTGATTTTATGAGATTTTCTTTTGACTTTTTTAAGAGTTTTATTGTAGGTCTCACATAATTTTTAGTTTATTATATTCATCAAATATTATTAATGATGTAAAAATTAAAATTAATGTTTTAGAAACTATTATGTATAATTTATATATACATGTAATTATTTTTTATTCTGACAAAAAAAAGTCAAAAAAGTTAAAAAAAATCACTTTAAATAAGCTTTTTCATTTTTTTTTAGCTTTTAATGAATACCTCAATCGATTTTAGGAGACTTTTTTTTAACTTTAGCTTTTTTGTGAAATTTTTTAAATTTCAGTTTTTCCCATAAAAATGCTAGCTTCAAAGAGGCCAATTAAAGTTACGGCTTGGAGCGTGAGTTTTTAGGAGATTTAATTAAGTTTAATTTTATTTTTAAGTTCTCAAATATATTTTGTAGATTAATATCAAAGCAAGTTTTGATGGGTCAAAGCCCAAGATATTCAGTATTCAGCTCAAAGGAGTCCACACCCGGTCTGTTAGCTTCAAAGGGTCATCCAAAAACTTCCTCCTAGCCACCTTAAAATAAAGGTCATCTAAGAACCTCTTTTTAGCCGCCTTAGAGTAAGAGTCATCCCAAGAGTCTCATTCAAGCCACCCTGAAGTAAGGGTCATCTTAAGAGCTTCATCCACGCCGCCTTGAAAAAAGTCAATCACCACCTCATCCTTTAACCAAATTTTATGGAAAGAACCGTAACTACCTTATCCTTTGAGAAGAGGTCGCCAGCTCCACCAGATTGGCTATTTAGTTACTATTAAGTCGCCCCAATCTGTTAAGAAACGACTATAAATATTGTAAACCCCATCAACACTGGGGGGACAGATGACACTCAATCGAGCACAACTCCACTATCTCTCTTAGCTTGTATCTTTCTGTTCTCCCTACACACTTGAAGTAATAAAGTACCCAATAACCCTAGTCATTCAAAGTGGACATAGGTCACGTTGACCGAATCACTATAAATCATTTTCTTGCTTGTATCTTTGTCTCTCGCCTCTTAATTACTATATTTATTACTGCTCATCTAATATGTAGCGTACAAATTCAATTTGTGCATCATTAAGTTCTATTTTACTTTTAATGCTTCAAATAAAATATTTAGAGGCAAGTTCTATTAAGCCTGATTTTATTCTTAAGTTNGTAGCGTACAAATTCAATTTGTGCATCATTAAGTTCTATTTTACTTTTAATGCTTCAAATAAAATATTTAGAGGCAAGTTCTATTAAGCCTGATTTTATTCTTAAGTTCCGAATGAAATTGTTAAGTCCACATTTATTTTTAGGACCCAAAAAAATCTGGGATCCAAATTCAATTATNAAATAAGTTAGATTTATTGGGACCTTGACTTTCTTATCAGTTTATGTAGTAATTTTCTAGACCAAAAAAGACTGAATCAAGAAGTTGATTTTATGAGATTTTCTTCTGACTTTTTTAAGAATTTTATTGTAGGTCTCACATAATTTTTAGTTTATTATATTCATCAAATATTATTAATGATGTAAAAATTAAAATTAATGTTTTAGAAACTATTATGTATAATTTATATATACATGTAATTATTTTTTATTCTGACAAAAAAAAGTTAAAAAAATCACTTTAAATACGCTTTTTTAATTTTTTTAGCTTTTAATGAATACCTCAATCGATTTTAGGAGACCTTTTTTTAACTTTAGCTTTTTTGTGAAATTTTTTAAATTTCAGTTTTTCCCATAAAAATGCTAGCTTCAAAGAGGCCAATTAAAGTTACGGCTTGGAGCGTGAGTTTTTAGGAGATTTAATTAAGTTTAATTTTATTTTTAAGTTCTCAAATATATTTTGTAGATTAATATCAAAGCAAGTTTTGATGGGTCAAAGCCAAGATATTCAGTATTCAACTCAAAGGAGTCCACACCCGGTCTGTTAGTTTTAAAAGGTCATCCAAAAACTTCCTCCTAGCCACCTTAAAATAAAGGTCATCTAAGAACCTCTTTTTAGCCACCTTAGAGTAAGAGTTATCCCAAGAGTCTCATTCAAGCCACCTTGAAGTAAGGGTCATCTTAAGAGCTTCATCCACGCCGCCTTGAAAAAAGTCAATCACCACCTCATCCTTTAACTGAATTTTATGGAGAGAACCGTAACTACCTTATCCTTTGAGAAGAGGTCGCCAGCTCCACCAGATTGGCTATTTAGTTACTATTAAGTCGCCCCAATCTGTTAAAAGACGACTATAAATATTGTAAACCCCATCAACACTGGGGGGACAGATGACACTCAATCGAGCACAACTCTACTATCTCTCTTAGCTTGTATCTTTCTGTTCTCCCTACACACTTGAAGTAATAAAGTACCTAACAACCCTAGTTATTCAAAGTGAACATAGGTCACGTTGACCGAATCACTATAAATCATTTTCTTGCTTGTATCTTTGTCTCTCGCCTCTTAATTACTATATTTATTACTGCTCATCTAATATGTAGCGTACAAATTCAATTTGTGCATCATTAAGTTCTATTTTACTTTTAATGCTTCAAATAAAATATTTAGACGCAAGTTCTATTAAGCCTGATTTTATTCTTAAGTTCCGAATGAAATTGTTAAATTCTTGTTTGGGTAAGTCCACATTTATTTTTAGGACCCAAAAAAATCTGGGATCCAAATTCAATTATGTGTAATTTTGTTTTTAAAGCATCAAATAAAATTTGTATACTTATATTCAATCAAACCCAATTTAATTGTAATTGACTTAAAAAGTTAACAAAAATTATAACTTAAACTATAAAAGTTATAATAGGACAACAAAAGTTGTAAAATAAAGTTTGTCGCAAACAAACCTGAACACTTGTGTATATCGACCCATAAAATTTTGTAAAACTTGGTGGTACCACAATTGTATTTTTTAAACACTAGTCTTCTCAAGGTGACAAATTTTTCAAAAGCCCCTGTACTTTCTTAGAAAAGTGATGGTACTCGAAATCTCTTTACCCAATTACAAAACAGTGTTAGAGCGTGACCCAGTGGAGACTTTGTGTGCGCTTTAGATAGAGTGGAGGCAAGAATTGACATTGGAGAAAAAAAAGGGATATAAATGGTTCCTCTAAGTCGAAAAATTAAGACTACATCTACTGTACCTACTTGAAGAAGAAGATAATAGTTACATAAAGTTCGGCTAGGTGCCTTTACAGAGTATTTTTTAGGAAGAATATCTTGTTGTTAGGGTTTTTTCAATGTTTCATTTTTTGGCTGATTCTATAGTCCCCTTCTCATTTGTCATTTAGTTGAACTTGTCATCCTGATGTTTTATGTGTCCACCAGTCCTACAATGGAATGTACATGGTGTCTTCATTATCGATGAGTATTTATTCGTGGAAGTTGTCAGGCATTGTTCCCTTATCTCTTGTCCACGTTGCGTGATTGGGGATTATCTGTGATATGTTTAGTGCCAAGCTCAAAACATCCGAGCAAACAATTATNTGCGTCGAAAAATTAAGACTACATCCACTGTACCTACTCGAAGAAGAAGATAATAGTTACATAAAGTTCGGCTAGGTGCCTTTACAGAGTATTTTTTAGGAAGAATATCTTGTTGTTAGGGTTTTTTCAATGTTTCATTTTTTGGCTGATTCTATAGTCCCCTTCTCATTTGTCATTTAGTTGAACTTGTCATCCTGATGTTTTCTGTGTCCACCAGTCCTACAATGGAATGTACATGGTGTCTTCATTATCGATGAGTATTTATTCGTGGAAGTTGTCAGGCATTGTTCCCTTATCTCTTGTCCACGTTGTGTGATTGGGGATTATCTGTGATATGTTTAGTGCCAAGCTCAAAACATCCGAGCAAACAATTATCATCGAGCTTGTTGAAGACGATCCGAGCCCTAATCTGGGCGGGCTGGATAATCTTGGGCTTTTAATGGTGCTGAGCCATGGTCTGGCCCGGGAGACGCCATCCAGAAGGGTTGCTTGGGTTTGTTCTCGATGGGCCTATTGGAGGCTTTAAGCTCAGACTTAAATCTATCATCATCAAATNCTAGAAGGGTTGCTTGGGTTTGTTCTTGATGGGCCTATTGGAGGCTTTAAGCTCAGACTTAAATCTATCATCATCAAATAGCAACCAGACAACTTCGGTTTGGCAATTTGTTTCCCTACAATGTGATGAGATACAAGATATCCGGTTTGATCAATAGCACACT